GCACTTCCTTCCTGGTACACAGGATCACCTTCCTAATCCTTCAACTTCCACCAAAGGGTTCCAGGATATTTGTTTCTCTGCAAGAATTCGTAGCCCTCTTGAAGTTTTACTGCAAAGGTGCCTTTATTCCATTAAAACAGACTGAAATTAATTTTGGGCTGGCCATAGACATCTTCTGCATTCCTAATTTAACTTCCTTTTCTTGCTCTTTGCGAGGGGGGGGGGAAACTACCCAGTTATTTTCCTCCATTTTCCTTGTAGTAATGGATTGGATGCTGAGCTAAAGAGTTAAAATAGTGCCAAGGAAAACACATCCAGCATTTTTAGTGTGTGCAAACCAAGGATCACATTTCTTCCACCTAAAGGCTGAGGAATTGGTACCTTAAAGCTGCTGCAGGTTCAAAGCAATTTCAAACCCCAGTTTGTCACACGACACTCAAATCATCTGAAATCCTTAAAAAAAAAAAAAAACAGAACAAAAGACAATAAGATTCCCACTCCCTGGCCACTTCTAACATCAGGAATTTTTCCACCAGTGGTCATTTTAGATGCAAGTTTAATGACAGTAGCAAAAACTTAAAGGAAAATGCTGCAGTTTATAAGTCAGAGCAAAATTTAAAGTGCCAGTTAAAAAAGAAAAACCCGAAATAATATTAGGAAAAAAAAAAAAAACCTGCTTCACATCTCTCCCTTAAGTGTGTATCAATTAGCAAGTACAATTAATAGATTGAGATATAAATCATAATAAGTTGGGAAACCCATCTGAGAAGCTTGGTAAATAAACAGCATTTAAAATTCCAGCTCCTTCCAAGCAGGTTTCATCACGTGCTGCGGACTGGAAGTTTCCTGCTTGCCTTCTGCAATAGTGGAGAGGTTTTCCAAAGACTTGTTACAAAAAAATACTAAACCGTGGCAAATGCCAACAATCTGGGTTATGATTGTTCCGTCTGTGGGGTTGGGTTTGGTTTTCCTGTGCCAGAACGGGTCGTTTGGACCTCTGTGGGTACCAAAAGTGCCAAATCGAGATCGTCCTGCAGCCTTGACCCTGTGAGCTTGATGTGGTTAAAGGCTCGTCCTGCTTTTGGGGAAGCTTCTGGAGATGAGGCAACAGCAAACTGGTGGTTGTGGTGATGAGGACACAGCTAAACTGGAGGTGGTGTGGCCGTGTGAGAGCTGGGCAGGAAGGCAGGAACACACAGTCAGGGCTCGGGGACGGCGCGGCCTCGGGCCACGGGAGAAATTGTGCTTTGTCCAGGATTTCTGTGCTGAAAACTGCACTCCCCAATCAACATGGATCTGTAAAACTGACACCACTGCAAACATAAGGCTTGCTTGTTTTTTTTGTTTGTTTTTTGTTTTTTTTTTTCCCCACTTGCCCCCCCCCAGAAGGCTTTAAAAAAAAAAACCCACGGTGATGTTTCGGAGCGGACGGGAGGAGCAGACGGGAGGGTGGGGGGCGGGGGGGAAAGAGTTTTGCTTTCCATCCTTGTCCGAATTTCCATTCAGGTTTTACATCCCACATTGGCAAACTGCAAATCCAAGGGGGCAGGGTGTGTTCCCTGCCCCCCCTCGCTCCGGTGAGTCCAAAGGTACAAAGGCCCTTTTTTGGTACACACGGGGAGAACCGGACGCTGCCGTTGGCCAGGAACCCTCCTCCATCCACCAGCATCCCGTCGGAGGTGATGGAGAGAACTCCAAAGATTTTTTTCAGAGAAGGCCTTGAACTCCACACTTGGGTTAAAGGAACCAGAGTTTCCATCTTCCGTGCTTTTTTGATTCAGTTTTGGATTTTTGCTTGGGAGTAGAGGAGTAGCTCTCCTGAGAATAAGGCAAAGGTGCAACCTGAGTTTCCTCAATGGGATGAAGTTTCCTCAAAACTGGCTGGAGTTTGTCTTCTTGCTGTTTAAAATCCAATTCCACGCTAGAAATGGGGAAGGGAAAAAAGCAATAGGTTGTTAATTGTGATGATAAAACTGTTTCAATTAACCCGGCATCCAAGTGTTTAATTTAGAAATTCAAGTCAAAAAAAAAATAAAAGTTTAAGTTAAAGGGAAGGGTCAAAAAAAGGACATTGTGTGGAAAAGAAAAGTGGGAATGAGATTGTTCAACTTTTCCTGCTGTTTAGGAGGAAATCACTGCTGCTAGGAATGACTGAAAACTGAAAATCCTAATTTTTTTGTGTCATCTTAGTGGAGGAATGATCTTTGAGGGCTTCCAGGCTTGGTTTTCCCTCCTGTCTGAGAGCCCCCAGCCAGGCTCTGCATCCTTGTGCTTTTGGAAAAGCTGATGGATTGGCCATAAGCAATTGGGCAGTTTCTGTACCTGACCTGTTTCTTGCCAGTTTTACCCTGAAATAGATTAAGTTTGGTAAATTAAACCAAATATCACCAAGCTACTGTCATGTGTACAGAGTCATATACAAGTGTGGGGTCCTGGATATCAGAGGCTGGATTGAAAAGGGTGAAATTAAGGGAATTTAAACACTAGGGTTCATTTATTTCCTCCCTGCCTTTTGCTGGATATTTAAAGGTAGCAGTTCGTGACTGTTGGGCACTCGAGAGGTTCCCTGTCCACCTGCACAGCTGAGGGGTCTTGGGCTTTGCACTGGCTGCCTTCATCATTAATGTGCAATTAGTGTTCCTGGACTTAAATGCACTTAGAATTAGTAAGAAATGTGTTTTCTGAGCTATTTCTGCCCTTCCTTGCTGGGCACAAACCACTGGAGAGGTGAGATCTGCTTTCCCTGGGCCTGGTGCTCCCAGTGGAGCTCGTCCAAAAAGACATTTAAAAGGATTTGTTACTACAACCTCTGTCTGGCTTCAAGAGTAAGGACCTAGTCCAGAACACTTAAAGCCATTTCAGAAGAAATTCATGGGAAATTTTTGTAAACTGAGCACAGAATATCATCTAACACCATCTGCTGACGTAGGCAGGGCTTATATTCCTCTTAGTGTGGAGGAGAAGGAATCAAAGATGCTGGGGGAAGGATGAGGATAATTGTGTGCTTGGTTTTATTTGAGACCTGATGAGTCTGTCTGGAAGGACTTCCAGGGAGAGCTGAAGAAAGGGTTGCTGGAAGGGTGGGAGGGCTTTTTGGTGCCTGGTTTTAACTCTTGAATCCACCCCTAGCAAAAGTGTCAGCATTTTAGTGACGTGGAGTTATTTGGATAAACTTTGTAACAGCAGAGGAGAGAGATACATTAGGTAAGAGTTCAGATACCCAGCATTATGTTTTTAGTGACTAAAAAGAGCCATTTGAAATCAAAGAAGGTGATTTAAAATTCCCAGGTCTGTGCTGGAAGTGGAGAATTCCTGACTTTGCAGGAGGCAGCTCTTGGGCACTGTGTTCCTGCAGGAGCACATTCTGACCCTGCTGATTGATATCCCTCCTTGTCAATGAAAGAACAGCGTTGTCTTCACTGGTAACACGTTCCTGTGTGCACTTCAGCACTGGCAAAAAGCAGATTTTGGAGAAGTGCAGCGTTAATTTAGTGGGGAGATCAGTCCATGGGGAATGTCCCAGCACCAAAATGCTGGTGGTGATGCAGCACGGAAACCTGAGGATGGGAGGAGATGCTCTTCTAAGAGCTCTCTAAATCTCATTTAAAGGGCAGCATTTGGCTGGTTTGTTTCTCAGGATAAATTTTTGTGGGGAAATAAAAGGCCTTTTCAGCTCTGGCCCTGCCAGAGTTCATTTTTACTTCTTTCAAGAGTTACTCTTACAAGGGAGCTCTGAAGAGCTGCTGGAAATTGCTGCTAGAGAGAAACTGTTGTAAAAAAACCCTTTGCTGAACAGAGTAACTTTTTACATAACCAACTTCTATTAAAGACAGACCTCAAGAGAAAAAAAAAAAGCATCTTAGTTCTAGACCATCTGACAAACCCCATGTTATTGCCATTTTCAGCTCAGGCTTTCAGCCCTTCACATCCAAATGAAATATTTTGCCTCTGAAGGGTATAAAGAGGCTGCATGAAAAACATCCGTGTTATTTCAGCATTTGGAGCTGTCCATTTTGCAGAATAATTGATTGGTGTCTCTCCAGATCAGTTTATCCAGCTTTGGAGGTGTTTTAATGGAACAGTTCCCTTCAGGCAAATAATCTGTGTGCTTTGTTTTCAGTTTATACCTGTTTATGCTGCAGTAACAGGACAATTTAATTTTCTTCTTATTTTTTTAAATTTTTCCCAACATTCCTTTAAAAATTAAAGAACTACTTAGTGTTTAATTTTTTTAAAGAATCCTTCTAAATTAGCTATAGCTCATTTCATTTTTACTGTTGATATCAAACATTCATCATTCACAGAATCCCAGACTGGTTTGGTTTGGAAGGGACCTTCAGGATCATCTCATTCCATGGGCAGGGACACCTTTCATTATCCCAGATTGCTCCAAGCCCTGTCCAACCTGGCCTTGAACGCTTGCAAGGATTAAATTCAGCAAGAATTCCGTATTTGTAGGAATTACTGATAATTTTGTTATAGAGCTGAAGATCTTTCCAGGCCTTTCGCTCCGAAATTCGATTTTGTCACCTGTCACGGCTCTGCCATCCTGTTTTGCTCAGTGCTATTTCTGTCCCTCAGCATCTCTAGGTGTCCTCCCTCCAAATGACCTTTTCCTGAAATATCCTCTGGACCATGTGCCTCTTTTCACTTTCAAACTTGGGTTTTGTCCCACAAGTCTCCCCATAATAACTCCATTAACTTAATTATCCAGGACTGCGTGTTCTCCTGCTGTTACACACAGAGGTGAGAATTATTTGCTTCAGAAGCATTTTTTTTTTCCTTAGATAATATAATAATATTTTTCAGGAGCCTGACAATTGTGAAGAAGCCCGACAGAAACAAGAGATAAATCCATTATATAATGCCAGCAGCACAAACCTTGGCCTGACACACCTGAGCAGGACATCCCAAAGCTTCATTTAATCACACTATTGTTAAATTTGGAACTCTGGGTCAGGCTTTTTCCACCTTCAATGCCTGTCTCAAATTCTTCCTCCAGTGCACAGCAATGGGCTGGTTTTGTGAACAACCATAAACAGGAAAATTCTCTCTCTGATAAATACTTTGGTTTTCTTTGTTTTCTCCCCAGAATGACTCTGTCTTTACGAGGTTTACAGCCAGAACTTTACATTTTAGGGCGGTTACCTGTGCGTTGATATTTCCATGGATGTCCTTCCCATGAAAATTTGGCCAACTAAAACCAAATAACAGCTCTTTGGGAATTTCATTTGCATGTGCTGATTAAACACCAGCAAGAACTTTGTAATCAAGATCTCTGTAATCCTTTCACAGTGAGAATGGTTTGGGTTGGGAGGGATCTTAAAAGATCACCCACTCCACCCCCTGCCACGGGCAGGGACACCTTCCACTAGCCCAGGTCGCTCCAAGCCCCGTCCAACCTGGCCTTGGACACTTCCAGGGATGGGGCAGCCACAGCTTCTCTGGGCAACCTGTGCCAGGGCATCACCACCTTCACAGGGAACAATTCCTTCCCAGTATCCCATCTAGCCCTGTCCTCTGGCACTGGGAAGCCATTCCCCTTGTCCTGTCCCTCCAGGCCCTTGTCCAAAGTCCCTCTTCACTCTCCTGCCAGGCATCTGAGGAATTGATGTGGATTTTCTGGTTTTGGCTTTGTTTTTTGAACTATTTTGAGAACTTAGGTTAATTAATTTATTTTTTTGCATGCAGGCAGCAGGGAACCTTTGCTAATTTAGTTGCTTTGTGAGGGATTGCAAGCAGAGTCTGAGGAGTGATAACCATTGGGATTAAACATATGGACTGTGGGAGGGGATCGAGGAACAGGCTCAGAGATAGGGGTGGGTTTTCTTATTTTCTAGCATAGTCACACATTATTGTCGTGAATCATTTTAAGACTGTGAGATGCTGATGATCTGTTGGGCACTGCAGGATTGCTGAGTCAGAGGCATTCAGACTCAGGATTGGGTTGCCAAGGGGGTTTTATCAGCGAATCATAAAATCCCAGAATGGTTTGTGTTGGAAGGGACTTTAAAGCCCATCCAGTGCCACCCCCTGCCATGGGCAGGGACACCTTCCACTATCCAAGGTTGCTTCAAGCCCCGTCCAACCTGGCCTTGGACACTTCCAGGGATGGGGCAGCCACAGTCAGGTCACCCCAAAGCTTCTCTTCTCCAGGCTGAACAATCCCAACTCCCTCAGCCTTTCCTCCCAGCAGAGCTGCTCCATCCCTCTGACCATCCTGGTGCCTCCCCTGGACTCGCTCCAGCAGCTCCAGGTCCTTCCTCCACTTGTTTTCTGTCACCTCCAAGGCTGGAGCCTGCAAAGCCCTTCCCTCTGCTTTCATTTCAGGTGACACCCCTTCAGTTCACCTTTTTATCCCTGAGTTTCCAGTGTTAAGCCCTAATCCTCCCAGCACTTACAGAGCAGCTGAACTCTTTAAGTCGAGGAGGTGAAGCAGGAATTAAAGATTGTCATCCTGTCTCCTCCTGGGTCACGTTAATTGGATGACATGGCATTAGTTCGTGCCCCATCTTGGAAAAACAGGATCCAGATAAGCACTGATCACTTGGAAATTACCTTAATGCACTTTCCAGCACGTTGAATTTCCTGTCGCAACCCCAAAATCCCCAAAGCCTGGGATCCAAAGCCCTGCCAGCATTAACAGGCCACTGAGATCCATTTTTCCCACTAAGCATCTTACAGTCTAGAGATGAGATGAGAACATATGAATTAATTAATGTGGGTAGGAAATAAAAAGGTGATGAAAATGACTATTCTCATGGTTTAATCACCTGATTTTATTAGACTGCTGCAATCTTAGGGATTGATGCCTTATGTTCACTTTGTGTGGTCACAGTTATTAATTTTGATAATTAATAATTTAAATATCTGACCTTTACGCGTGGGCTCTTTGCTAACTTTTAACTTTTACCCCTCTGTTTAAACCCGTTTCTCTTGCAGCTCTTGTACCTGAACTGCATTTCATAGATTCTGATAATACATTTTCTGTTGAAAAATGGGAGCCCACCTTAGATTAATATCAAATAAAACCACAGCAGCATAAATCAAAATTTCAAAGGAGTGAAAAGCAGCCAAAGTAATGGTTGGTACGACTTGGAGTGATTTATCTCCTAAAAATTTCCTTCTGGAAGCCAAAGTAGCCTTGTAAAAGCTGCTGAGCATTCCTGACCTTTCCCACTCCAGGGAAATCCAGCGGGAATCCTCCAAGATGCTCCTTCCCAGAAGCAATTCCTGCTTAAAGGCCTAAGAATAATACACAAAATATGAAAGAGAAGCCCCTTTTTCTCCTCCAGATTTCTGCTTGAGGATTAAAATTCACCCAGGCTGGGAAATTAAACAGGAGCAGAAAGGGCAGTTCCAGGGAAAGAGAATTCCAGAATAAACCAGGCTGGGGAGATTTGGCTCCATTTCAATATTTAAGTTGAATCCTGGCAAAATATAAACCCTGATAAAACATATTTTAAAAATGTTTGTAAAGTACAGACGTGGAAATTTGTCTTGTGGTGGTAGAAGATGATTTTGGAAACTGTTCTGTGGCCTTGGGTTATGAGATATCGATGCTGATGGAGAAAATGATGAAGGGGTTGGTTGTTTTTACTATTTGATCACATTTTGGGCTCCTGTTTTAAATACAGTCTGGAAATGACTACAAAGACACGATGCTGAATAATTTTAGTGACAGTTTTAAGTCTGTGGCTCAGCTGATGCAGTGGAAGAAAATGTCAGTGACTCCTGTGTCTGGAGCTCCAAGTTCCTGAACATATTGCAGAAATAAGCAGAATTTGGAGGAAAATAGAGTAGCTAAATGTGGATGTTTTTCTTTACTTCCTGATCTCTAAAACAGTTTCAGGCTTTGGCACCTTTTCTTTTTAACACGCTTTAATATTTGATTGTCAGTCTCCTACTTATTTAAGAAAAACGAGACAAGTTTTCCTTTCTCTTCTTTAATACTAAGAAATGTATTCTTTTCAATATAAAGAGAAAATAATCTAAAAGTAGATTAGTAATCTACTCAATCAAAATTTAATCAAAAATTTTAATTTAATATGCCAAGTAACTATTACCAAAAGGCATTTTTATTAACAGTATTGATGTTTTTGATGCTAAAAACCCCTTAAAGTACAACAGGGTTTGTTTTTTTTTTTTTGTTGCCTTCTACACTGTCTCTGCCTTGTGTGCTACATTATATCAATACCCTGAAAATTCATCTTGAGGGGGAAGAATTGAATTCCATGGATTCCCACCTTCTCACCTGTGCTATACCTGGCACTGCAGGATGCAGTTGGGTAATAACCTAATCCTTCCTCTACGATGCTGTTTCTTTGCAGTTTAAAAAGAGAGGTTTGAAACAGCTCTAAATTTGTGTGTTGTTTTTGTTTTTTTTTTTTTTTTTAATGTTGCAGTGTTCAAAATGGAATCATATTTAAAAAAAAACCCCACAGACAATTACAGCAAAGTGAAGGTTTTCTCTTCAGATTATTGATTTTTCCATCAGGCCTTTGGTTATTTTTTTATTTAAGTCTTTCCTGTGTATTAATTGGGCAAAAGAGCTCCAGACTTTAAGGACCTCCTGGTGTGACAGGGGTGTTTCCTCAGGGTTTTATTGCCCCTTGGACAGTTTAAGGTGAGCTTTAATTTCTGGTCCTGAGAGGAAATCAGGTACCCCTGTGCAGTCTTTGACACGTGAACCCTTGGCAAAGGTGCACCTGGATTTAATTAACGCCCTCACTAATGAACTGCTGCACTCTGAGGTGTCAGGGAGCGGCTGATTTGTGGAGGAGCAGAATTTCCTACAAGACAATCTGTCTCAGTGCTGGTTTTATCAGCGAATTCCTGGTTTATCCCTCCTGGCTGCTTATCTTGTCTCAGTAATTCACTTCTCTCGTGGTTCCCTGGTTTGCAGCGTCTCTGCTTTTAGGTTTGTTTTTGTTTTTGTTTTTTTTTTTTACCTGCAGCATTTTTTCTCCTAAACTGGCAAAAAACTGAGCTGTTCTGTGCTAAAACCTGCCCTGGGAACGTGGCTTTAGGCAAATGTCCACTCCAAAGGCAATTGGGGTGGGGGGATGGAGAGCTGGACCTGCCTGTTCCAACCATCTCCCGTTAGGGAAACTCTTCAAATCTGCTTTTCTGGAGTCGTTTCATTGGCAGGGAGCAAAGGAACCTTCTGGTTTTATTCCTTAACTTGAAATCCACTGTGAAGAAATCAAGATTTGGGGGCAAAAAAAAATTTTGATTTAGACTGTGGGGCCTGATTTTGTGACACACTCTGAGACACGTTTGTTTTCCTCCTCCCTGCAACCCATCAAAACATTCAGTTGGATTTTTTTAAGCTTCTGATGGAGAAGGACAATTAAGTTGTCAGTATGAGACACATCATCGGGCTCATGATGGCCATGTTATTCCTGCACTGGAAAATGAGGATGTGCCAAAAAAAGGCCTGGGAATCACAGTGGTTTGGGTTGGAGGGGACCTTAAAAAACCGTCTCATTCTACCCTCTTCCACTAGCCCAGGTTGCTCCAAATCCAGCCTGGCCTTGGACACTTCCAGGGATCCAGGGTCAGCCACAGCTTCTCTGGGCAACCTGTGCCAGGGCCTCCCCACTCTCACAGGGAAGAATTCCTTCCCAATATCCCATCTAATCCTGATTTTGCCGCTAAAACTGTCTGGATTTCATCTGTATCTGTTTCTCTTTGTTGTACATTCCCTCTCCCCAAATGACTTCCCAAGTCCAGTTGTTACTGCTATAAAAATAAATTCGGTGTACAGAAGTCTACAAAAGTAAATTTGAAGTTGACTTGTTGGTCAGAAAATCCTAAATATCCCAAAAACTTGCACCTTGCAGCCCCTCCCATCCCAGAGCTCCAGCAGCACTGCCCACAACCAGCTACTTCTGATCCGAAAATTTAGACTTGGAGTTGAATTTTATTAATTTAGTGAAGTTCAGTTTACGTCATGTTGGTTGGAAAATCGAGGTCAACCACTGAGGCCCTCATAGTGAATAAATCATGGCTTTCACTCAGGAAAAAAGTGGGAATATTAATATTTTGAACCTACCTGTAGATGATACATGCACTGTTCCTGCACGTGTCGCAGTTCGCCGTGTCCTGACCAGTCCGATACGAAAGCCTGGAAGGACAGAGCATGAAATCATTAAAACCTGATTTCTTTTAACATCCTTTTTGTTTTCTTTGATTTTTCTTTTTTCATAATGATCAGAACTTGAAGATTATTTAACAAATTGTAATATTGAATAAGAAAATGAAGCCATCAGGAAACCAGGACCACAATCAGCACATTCAGCTTCCATGAACAAATTAATTTTTTTGGGGGGTGGATTAATATTTTCTCCACTTTTACAGTGAGCAAACTTTCCATGGAGCAATAAATTAAACTACATAATGCATTACATTAGGAGGAATGTGGAGAATATAATACCAAAAAATAGGATTTATTTTAGACACTTTTAAAGTTATTTTCTGCAGGGGCAGAGCACTTGCTCCTCTGCTTCCTTCCCAGTGTACAATAATGAGCAATCCAGCAGTAGGAAAAAAAATGGCCTCATTTTTTACGTGACAAAATACCCAAAACAAGTGTTAATGGGAAATTACACCCAAACTGTTTGATGTGCCTGCCCCTAAGATGAGAAATCAGCATTTCCGAAATGCTGCTGCAGGCTGGTTGTTTAGCTTAGGAAATGATCAGCTGGTGCTGACAGTGCCAGTTTCCTTAAATATTTTAAAGGTTTGAAGATGTGATTGTGAGCAGTTGGAAGTTGTGTCGTGGCCAAGTGCTCTGGGGCTGTGGGTACAGCTCTTGGCACCCTGGTGGATGGGCAAAAGTTCACAACAGGGTGAATCTACTTCTTCTAAGACTTCTTTCCTTCTAAAAGCCAAAGGCAACGTAGAGTTGTTGCTGTTCTAGATGATTATTTGGCCTCAAAAATTGCTTTTTATTTGGAGGAACGTGCTCAGATTTGCCTGAATGTTGTTAACACAACACCAAAGGCAAATCATGGAATCATGGAATGGTTTGGGTTGGAATGGACCACAAAGCCCATCCAGTGCCACCCCCTGCCATGGGCAGGGACACCTTCCACTAGCCCAGGTCGCTCCAAGCCCCGTCCAACCTGGCCTTGGATGCTTCCAGGGATCCAGGGGCAGCCACAGCTTCTCTGGGCAACCTGTGCCAGGGCCTCCCCACCCTCACAGCCAACAATTCCTTCCCAAAATCCCATCTAACCCTGTTCTCTTTCAGCTGTGCAAGAAAACTACAAAGCAAAATGTCTCTACTCTGTGCTATTCCTGATGGGGGAAAAAACCCCAAGAGTGGTTTACATTTGCTTGTATTTGTTACGCTCTCTCAGAGCAGAAGCAAGACCTGGTTTTCATTTCCCCTTTTAAAAATCTTTCAGGAGGCAACATTCAAGTTGTCACCACTATTAAACTTAGACTTGTAAAACGTTTCTTTTTTTCCCCCAAGCTATTGATCAGGTATTAAAAGCTCTTACTAAAGATACAACATTTAAAGTCTACAGATGAGTTGGTGAAGGCCTTTATTTACTGAGGACATAAAGAACAGTCAATAGTTTCCCTCAGAGGAACGTGCACGACTCTGTGAGGGCCTCTTTATAGGTAAAGCCATAAACATATTGTGGAAGGTGCCAACTTCTTTTGTCTTTCTGTTTAAAATTGGTTTCCAGTTGGGACATTTTCATTCATCTCTGTAAACCTGCAAGCAACCATTCAAATTAGTTAATTATCTGGCTTGTAGATTAACAACCTCCTCCTGTGCCAGCCTTTCCTCCTTCCACACAGGTTTCTGCTGTTCATGTTCAGCCTCTGCTCTGCTGCTTGAGAAATCATTTAATAGTAAGGGCATTTTAATAAAATCTTCCAAGTTACAGAATCACAGACTATTTGGGTTAGAAGGGACCTTACGGCCTATCTAGTTCCACCCCCTGCCACGGGCAGGGACACCTTCCACTAGCCCAGGTTGCTCCAAGCTCTGTCCAACCTGGCCTTGGACACTTCCAGGGATGGGGCAGCCACAGCTTCTCTGGGCAACCTGTGCCAGGGCCTGCCCACCCTCACAGGGAAGAATTCCTTCCCAATATCCCATCTAACCCTGCCCTCTGGCAGTGTGAATCCATTCCCCCTTGTCCTGTCCCTCCAGGCCCTTGTAAAGTCTCTCTCCATCTTTCTTGTAGCCCCTTCAGCTCCTGAAAGGTCACAGTCAGGTCACTCCAAAGCTTCTCTTCTCCAGGCTGATCAATCCCAACTCTCCCAGCCTCTCCTCCCAGCAGAGCTGCTCCAGCCCTCTGACCATCCTGGTGCCTCCTCTGGACTTGCTCTAGGTCTGTGTCCCTGGTTGTACTTTAGGTGCTCTGAGGGATTTGCCCCACAAGAACACCATTTCTGGCAGTGGTTGGTAAAGGGAGCTGCTCAGATCAGCTGCCTGCAGTGAACCTTGAGAACTCCTGATTTTTCTTGTGTCCCCTCACCAGGCTGTTTGAGACCCGTGGTGTTCCTTGTGGGACTGGGGACAGAGGAGGAGGTTTTGCCATGAGCTGTAGTCCTGCTTCCAGAACTTGCAGTGGCTTTGAAATCGAATTAAAAATGAGGTAGCAAATCGAATTAGGTTAGTCAGCTGTCTTCCTAAAAACTGATTTTTCAGTATCTTATTTAAATTACTTTGCCCAGAGAAGCTGTGGCTGCCCCATCCCTGGCAGTGTCCAAGGCCAGGTTGGACGGGGCTTGGAGCAACCTGGGCTGGTGGAAGGTGTCCCTGCCCATGGGGGGTGGAAGGAGATGGATTTTAAGGTCCCTTGCAGCTTAAACCAACCTGTGATTCTATTATATGATGATCTTTCAATGCACAATAATTCCAGATTTTCATATACTTAAAAACATATTCGCTGGTATAAGGCAGCCTCGTTAAGCTGATGAAAATGGTCCTTTTGATATAAGGATTTAAAAATGAGATGATTTTTGCATCATGAGTTTGAAATCCTGATTTCTCAACTAACACATTCAGCTCTGCTTGTTTTAGCATCATTGTCATTCTCAAGCTCCGCTGGTTATGGTGATACATTCGTTTTCTAGTTGGATGTTATTTTTCATTAAATTTTCTTAAAGCAATATTTTCCTCATTGAATAATTTTAGCTTTTCAGAGGTGATTTTTTTTTTTACATATTTAGTAACATTTTCTTCTTTGAACCACCCTGTTAGAATTCTCTGTAAGCCCCAAGAACACCCCATGGTGTCCCAGTGTTTGGTTTCCATCAGGCAGTTTCAGAGCTCTGTGTTCTGGGAGTGTGTTAGTACAGTATAAATTCAATTATTTCTATATAAATTAAGTCTGTTGTTGATACCCCAGGGCTTTGGACTTTTACTTTCTTGTTTTCACATAATTATCTACATAAACACTTGCATGGAATTCATCTCCTTCATGCCAGCAAGGATTTCACAGTTGGCACAGCATTTCCATGTAAAATTTAGGCTGATTTTCAATGCAGAATTCCTGAAAAAATAGATTTTCTATCAGTGTTAACTGCTAGAAACAGTTTGTGAGCACAGTCTGGATCCCAGGGTAAGGACAGCAGAGTTCTGGGTGATGATGTTTTTCCTGGTGAGATGTAGTATTTGGAATAAGCTTCTTTTTTTCTTCCTCTCAAAAAATATTTGGAAGCGTAGGAGAGTGAGGTTAGAGACCGAAACCTTCGTTGTGCTTTAGTAAACCAGTCATTATTTTTGGTCAGGAGAAACCCCTTAAAATGAGAAGTCTTGGACAAAACAGAGATTTTCCTATGGAAAATCTGTCATCTTTTGAGAGAAATGCCAGTTGGTTTTGGCCTTAGATCCAAAGTGGAATCCCCTTGGAACTGAGGGAGATGCTTGGGAGCCAGGAGTTCCCTGGCTTCACCTGCTTCACCTAAAGATGATCTCAGCACTAAGCCTGGCAGCTTGTTGTGTTAATATTTTGATTTTGGGAATCCCTCACTGGTTGCTGTCTAAAAATAGGACATTTTTTTCCATTTGTTCTTCAAGGCGGTTCAACGTCGTTGCCGTGAGGTTGGGATTGACCTGCCTGGCGTGAGAGTCGGATGTGCCTGTGATCCCTTAATCCCAGAGTGGTTTGGGTTGGGGGGGACCTTCAAGATCAGCTTGTTCCACCCCCCTGCCCGTTGCAGGGACACCTTCCACTGGAGCAGGTTGCTCCAAGCCCTCTCCAGCCCGGATGGTGGTGCTGGAACCGCAAAGTCCGTGCGCCACCTGCCAGCTTTGCCTTCTGGCACGAGTTCCTTTTTTTGGGGAAATACTCATCGTGGGGGTGCTGAAGGAGAGGTTTTGGTTTAATTAGGTTGCTTTCCAAGTTAGTTAGCTACAACTTGTGCTACCTTCCACTATCCCAGGTTGCTCCAAGCCCTGTCCAACCTGGATTTGAAAGTCCCAGAGGGAGGATGAACATCTCTGAGTTCTGTTGTTGTGTCTGCATCTTCCCCTTGGGAAGGAGACCTCACCTCCACACCAGGTTTTCCACAGATTCTTCCTATCTACATTTCATACTATTTTCAGGAGGCTTTCATTTTATTGCAGGTTTGTTTGTTTTGTTTTTGTTTTTGTTTTTTTTTAAGCATTCTGGGCACAACCTGAGCTTAACCTCAATTAACACTCCCAAGTATTAAAATATTTTAATGAAGAGCAACCATTTTGCTGACATGGACTGGCAGGAACTAAGAATAGGCTGCAATTTTCAGAGCAGCCTAAGGGGATTACACCCTCTAAATCCCTGGGAAACCCAGAATTTGTGCGCTTGCTTGAGGCTTTTTTTATTTAAATACCAACTGTAACATCAGAATCTTTGCATCTGAACGTTATTTTGCTTGTATAAATTAGAAGCAACGTTGAGCTGAGAGAGGGGAGCTTAGATCTGTGCGTGATGATTTTTTTTTTTTAAATGCAAGTCTGTTAAAAACAAAGGAAAAAAAAAAACAATTTAGAAGGATAGACCTGTTACATCTGGATGTCCTCCCTTGTCTGCTGGGATGTGGGGAATATTTGATATTAGTTGAGTTCCTTAATGGCACTGCCCTTCCCAGGCTGTGCCTCAGAGCGTGTCGATGCTC